CCAGCCCGTTACGTGGTGCCAGCGGGCACCGAGCTCTGCCCGCAGCCCTCGTGGAACACACGCAGGGCAAAACCCGCTCGGCGACCGGAACGCCCACCCCCGGGGGAAGGGGTCGCGGCAGCCGCCCCGCAGCACGGCCCTGTCTCCGCCAACAGAACGGGGCTCTGCCACCGCAACACCCTCCCTGCTGCCCCCTCGGCTCCTGGCACCCCGCCGCCGACACGGAAGGACAGCTCATCAGCTCCACGGGGGGGAGAGGGAACCCAAGAGCCCAAGCCCCTAAACCCCCCCACGGAGGAGGGGTGCAAGGCCGCGGACCCGCACACCATACCTCGCCGCCGCGTCGGTCGCGTCCCCGGCGGGCGGAGGCTGGCCGCAGCGGCGGGCGGGGCCGGCACCGCCTCGCCCTCCGCCTTGTCGCCGGCAGGTTCCCGGCTGGGCCCGCCGCCTCCCCGCCCCCCCACGCGGCGGGGCTCATTGTGGACCTGAGCAGCGGCACGTAGCCGCCGCCGGTAGCGCGCCGCCGCGCGTCCGCGATACAACCTCTGCCCGGCCGGGAGCCCCCCGGGGCCGCTCAGTCCCAGCCGGGCGGGAGCGCGCCTGTGACCCGCCGGGCACCGCACCCCGCGGCCGCTGCCCTGCACTGCGCTGCTGTGGGCGCACGGCGGCCCCCAGCGTCGCCGCTGCCCTCCGGACGCCGTCCCCGGAGCGGTGCTGCGGCGCTGGAGCCGCTTCACGTGTTCTTAAAACGTCCCTCTGTGTGTATTTTTATAAACGTAATTTTGCGGTTACAGAAATGGGTTCCCCCCCCTCCCCCGTTTTTGTTTTCCCTCAATTCCTTTAAAATGAAACAACGCTACGGACGTTTCTAAACAACTTCATTACCGGTTGGTTTAACCGCTACGCTGTCGTCTCCTGTGACAAAACACAAGGCTTAGCGATGCCGTTCGCAGGCAGGAATCGCACCTCCTAACATACAGCATCGTTCAACACACACGCACGCACCACCCTCCCACAACCTCGGAGGCCCCAGAGCATCACGTAGGATGCTTCTGGTCCATGTCACAGCGCTTGTCTTCCCAAACCACGGCTCGTGACATTTGAACAGAAAGGTTCAATCACCTTTTGCCCCTCTTTTACGCCGAGCCCATCCAAACAGCAACGTCAACCACACACCTCCAGCTGCACAGGGGTTTGCAAGGATGAAATGACATTTTAGAAATTAAACCACAGGACTCCCAACAAACATGCGATTTCCTGTCTAAACTGTGATTTTTCTTTATTAAGTGCACTGAGTAAATCCCCTCCTGTCACTCGTCTCATGCTTTAACCCGCAGGCACCACTTCTGTTCATGCCCACGGCAGCGGGAGGACAGAGCAAGCCACAGCCCCCGTTGCAGAAGTTTGCCCCCAAACACAGAACTTCAAATAACCACTTGTTCCACTGCAACTCTCTGTAAGAGATACCACAACCCAGAGATTCAAATGTCTGTGGATTTAGTTGTTCAAGATTTCACTGTCACATTAATCAGTGTTTTAGAGATCACTCCAGAGCAGGACGTAAAAATAATGCTTTTTCTTTGATTTTCATTTACAGACTACAGGTGAATTGTCACTGAAGTCATGGAAATCAGGAATTCCTTTGCTTTACCATAACGAAAGCAAACAGAAACACTTTCTCACTGCCCATTTAAAGGAAAATAATCTGACACTGCTTTGGACATATCCTGGAAAAATAATCACTAATCCTAGCTTCAGGTAAAAACTGTGATAGCTTCAGTCATCATTTTCTGTGCTTCAGCTGTCTTCAGTCAAAATGCTTTCACATTAGCCATTACCATATTAACACCAGTTCTCTTAAAAGCACTGTGATCACTAGAGCAATCCCCAAGCAATTTAAGAACTTGCATTTCCTGCAGAGTTGCAGGAATGCAGTGTGCTCTGACATCTTGTTTCCCTTCCTTTGGATGAACATTTTCATCCCAAAAAGCTATCCCAATCTCGCAACATACTCCACAAGGATACAATAGATATAGTTCCACTGACAAATGCAGTGCTGGCACAGACGAGAGCTCTAAATTAGGAATGTGTTGAGATTTGCACTTAAAGGCACAGCTAAAATCCTTGTTTCACACTTTGATGATTATGCTTACATTTGTTATCCAAAACTGATACAGCAATTCATCAAAAGACACAACACTTCGGAATATTTCTGTAACTCTGCACAAATAATATTTTAAATATTTGTTTCCCTTCATTTTTCTTTATATTCACAATGAAAAATAGAGAACTACATGAAAACTGAAACATCTGCAGAAACACTAAGGACATTTTAGGTACGCATCTTAAGCGCACCTACTTCATCCTAAGGAAATACCTGGACTGAATTAATTTCAATTTAAGGATTTAAAAGAGAGAAAAAAACCTATGCAAACACAAAAGCGTGCAAGGAATGAATGTTTCAAAGCACAGTACAAGACTCTACTCGTGCAATCATTAGATACTTAGATGTCCCATTTATTTCACTGCCAAAAGCAATTTCTGCTTTCCATTAGCTGTTGATGCCATTTTCCCCTAGAACATGGGATCAATCACCATCACACCCTGCCTGACAACCTGGGAGCACAAAGCACCATCCAGGTTTCATCTGTAACAGTTCTTACCTTTGCAAGGCCACTTCCAAAAATCCTCACAATATTAAAAAGCTTTCCTATGTCAACAGCAGGTAGCACTTCAGAGCATTACTGGCTTTTACGGCCTCTATCTGTTTGGCCTCTACTGCTCTATTTAACATTTATACCTGTGCCTAAAGCATTAACACCAAGAATGAGATAGAAAACTTAAGTATTCCCTCATGACAACAGTACACTGCACGACTTCAGAAAGCTTTAAGAGGTTATGCATGAGCCCTGCAAGGCATCACAAGCTGTAAATGCCTCAAGCTAGTGACAGCATATGCCCCTCAACAGCTGTCCAAATTAGCTGTAATAAATCTTAGTTACAGCTGGTAAACATGTATTCCATGAAATTAGTACCCCCTGGGCTTTATACACAGTTTCCATAGGGGTCAGTGGGGCACCACACATTGCTCCGTGGGATGAGCTCATTTACAACCAGGACTTGCAGCCAATTCAGTCCCACTGCAAAACAACACTGGGCTGGTGACTCTTTCCAACCGTTTAAAATCAGGCACACTAGGAATTCTATCCTGGCATGCTAATAAGATCACATGCTTATTACACAGCTGAATTTCTAAGTTTAAGACCTTGGGGGTGGAGAAGTATAAGAAACTAGAAAACAGAAATCTAACTAGTGTCAAACAAACAAAATAAAAGCCAGTTCTATTTAGATGTTCTTGGTTTTAGAGAATAACTTAAAAGTTACAAGTGTATTTACCCTATAATGTCTTACAATCAATCTGTATTACCAAGCAAGAAGCCTACAAATAGTCAATTACATATTTCTGACTGTTTCTTTTGGCAAACAGCTTTTGTTTCTGCAGCAACATGCTTTGGAATTCATGCTGTTCCTTAAATCCGAGGCTTTTAAACATGCTTCCTTCTTCCTTTTTTACTGCAAGGCAGGACACCACTCACCTACTTCAGAGTGCTGCAGAACCAGGGAAGTATGCAGCTGCTAGTATTTTTGCAGTGAGTGACACAGAAATATAATAGTGATATTTATGTGGTTTATATTGGGTGGAGGGGACAAATGAGTTTCTTGCTTATTTCACTTTATTATTGATACAAGCAATCTTTTGCCTCCTATCACTCAGAAGGGCTTCACATTCAGTTTCTGGAGAAGCCAGTTGCTTATAAAAGCTGACAAATGCTTCTATATGTATCTCTTCCCTCCCAGGAGCCTCAGGCAGCTGCCTTTTTGCCTCGAGAACATGTGATACTGCTTCCTCTATTTCATTCAAATCCAGCAGCTGGTACCCCATGACTCATAAGCCAATTCATCCTTGCAGTTCCTCATAGCCTTTTCCCATTAAGATAGTTAAAGAAAAATTACAGAGCAGTTTTGTATTTTCTACTACTTCAAGCCTGTTAAGTCTATAGCATGGACTCTGAGGTTCTGGGGTTTTGTTGTTGTCAGCTTGGATTCTTCCCCCTCATCTCCAAATAGTTCCCTCTGGATTGTTACAAACCCACTGCTCAGTACTTGAGTCACTGTTCACCAACAGTGGTGCTCAGAACAGTGGAACAAACTCATACCAGGTTATGGGTTTATTATAAGCTTTTTATGAGTTACGGTCTTGCACAAACACTCTGGGATAGCTAGATTCTTACTAGAAATTAAAACCAAAAACTGAGGACGTCATTCAGAAAGAACCACATTCCTGTGCAACTGAGAGAGGGCCATAGAATGGCTTAGGTTGGAAGGGTCCTTAAAGATCATCTAGTGCCAGTCCCCCTGCCATGCACAGGGGCACCTTTGAATATGTGACTTGTAGATAAAACTATAAGTTTATTTAGGCAAAGAGAATTTAAGAAATTAAGCTAAACTCCAGATGCCTGCAGTTCACACATTGTCCCCCAAGATAACATGAGCAGTTGCTCTAATAGATTGAACAGAAACAACGTTCACATGCAAATGATACCTAACCGGACCAGAAACACAACAGATTTTTCCAATGTCCCCTATTATCCATACCAGTAAAATCAGTCGACATTTCAGGAGAATCACTCAATATTTCAAGTGAATTAGAAACTTTCCTCCACAAATTTTCCAAACCCAAGCCTTCAGCCAACACACGATTCAGAGAAACTAATTCCCTTCACATTAATCTTGTACGATCATCACTGTTATTTTTATTCTTCGCCTATTTTTATCGCAATTAACATCACACAAAGTAAGAAAACATCAACACTCTTACTCAACCGGCACCCACCAGCCTGGCCACCATCTTGAATGCGGGCAGCGAGCCGCCATCTTGGGCGAGGTTCTCCTTGCTCCACTCACACACAAGGCCCAAGGGAAGCACCCCGGGCGAAGGCCGATTTATCCGCTTTGCCCTCATCCAAAATGGCCACTGGCGCTTCCGATCCTCCTTAAGGCGGGCGGCGCGCCGGCGCGCCTGAGCTTGCTCTAAAACTGCTTTATGGTTTGGGGCAGCAGCAGGAAGCGGAGCCGTCCGGGTGCTCCATTCAAAGGGCGTCCATGCGGGTGTGCTGCCGCGCGGCCCGGGCAGGTACCGCCGGCGGGGGTGCTGAGGGGGGCGAAGGGGTCCGCCCGCCCCGGGGCGGGCTGAGGGGTAGCCTGGCTGGTGGGGTCTGTCACAAGGAGATGCGGTAATGGGGGCTGTGGAGAGCCGCGCTGCATCACCCCAACAGGGAGCCATCGGCTGCCCCCCTGGTGTGCTGAGGAGAGCACCGGAGGGGTGGGCTGCGGGAGCGGCTGCCCCCTCGGCCTGGCTGGGATGCGGCTCGTACGGGCGAGCCTCAGCCGAGGGTCCCGGTTTGTCCCTTGCGGGGGTTAAGCCCGAGGTTCGCTCTGGATTTGGCAGCACGGTGCAGGCACTGTGAGTACCCGGGGGTGCGGAGACCTGTGAGGGCACGGCTCTCGCTGCGGGGAGGCGGGTGTGGAAAGCCCCGTGCATCGTCCTGACGTGGTGGGTGCTTGTAGGGAAGCTGTCAAGGTACTCGTTTGGGTGCTTTTGCTAAATCATCATCAATCGGGGGCTCGGAGGAAGTGTGTGAATGTTTGGTTTGGCGTTGAAGAGCAGTGCAGTGTCACACCAAATAAAGTCAAGTGAAGTTAGCAGCCCCCAGATACCTAAAAATACCTAAATACTGTAAAATTGGCTGGTAGAATTTATGCGTTCACTTAAAGGTGCGTTTGTGACTTATTTTAAGTGTAACTTTTCAGAAGGTGCTTTGAACAACCTGCTCTAAGTGGAAGGTGTCCCTCTCCATGGCAGGGGTTGGAACTGGATGAGGTTTAAAGGCCCCTTCCAACCCAAACCAGTCTGGGATTCTATGATTTTTATCCCCTGAGGCACCTTCTGTGCAAGCAGCAGCCTCTGCGAGATGATGCCGTTGACTTTGAGGGGCCAACTTTAAGCCAATATTGGCATTTGCATGATTGCACTTTGCTGAATGAATTTGGGGAAGAGATGTTATATCAACGTTTGCATTAATGGATTTATTTGGCATGCAAATTGTGTTTTAAGTAGGATGTGTTGTTCCTGAAATACTCCCAGATTTCTGCAGTGATCTTATTTGATAACTTGTTGATGGATTTTTAGGTTGCAGGCAGGAGAAGGCTTTGTATGGGCGGAAATATTTTCCAGTATATTGAGGTCAACTTCAGGAATCATTTGGTAATTAAAGCCTGATGCTTGGCATCCGGAGGAGATGGAGTGTGTCTTATGTTATAAGTGGTTTTTGTCTCTTTCGGTTTCAGATTCTCTCGGATGTGTTGCTATGGGATTAAAATAAAGTCATCTGTGCTTTTTATTTAGCTGAAAAGACTGGGCTAAGTTTGATTTATTAAATGGAAGAAAAAGAAAATCCCCTGGAACTTTATATCTAAACTAGGTGGTCAGTACAGAGTTGCAGAGTGTCATGTAGGATCTAAGAACAGCAAGGTCACTGGAGGAATAAAATGTTCTTACCCTGGACATCTTTTATAGTCTAGATTAAGACTTGGTAAGTCTTGAAAAATGTTGGGAATGGAGTGTTGGAGTCAGCAGTCATTTTGAAGTCTCACTTGTGATTTTTTTCTGTCCAGCCAGGTTTCATGAGTCAGTCTGGACTGCCGGGAGCATTTTCTGAAGATGTACATGTTGGTTGAAAGCCGCACGAGTTCCTATCTTCATCTGAAGAGGTCCCCTGGCATCCGCTCTTGGTCTCTCTTTGTTGGTAAGACCCTAAGGTTCCTCAGTTTATTTCGGAGCTTGCCGTAAGGGAAGGGGATCATAATAAATTCCTCGAAGAGCTTCTAAGAAGAGATGCCTGTCTTTCAGGCATCTTTCTTTCAAGAAGAGGCATCACCACACTTTGAACTTTCCACTAGTGTAGCCACTGAATGAGTCTGTAGTCTTCTCTGCATGGTAGTTTCACTGTGAGAGTTTTTCACTCTGTCATCTGCAGAACCTCAGAGGCTCATGGAGAGAATTTTCAGGCAGTTCTGGAAGATCAGGAAAAGAAAGTTTATTATATATCATATAGCAGTGTAAATGTGAAGCTTCTGAAGGGGATGCGTACTTACACTGAGAAACATCTAGGCTTCAGAAATGGAAAAACCTGCAGTGCAGCAATGCTGTGGCTAGATCTTGTGTGTGATTAACAGCACTGTATGTAATAGGAAGTCAGACAGGATGTTGTGAAAGGCGTCTTAAAACACTACTGAAAATGCAGAAAGGAAAATGGACTTAGTACAACGTACTTAGGCTGCACTGAGAGAACTGGTGTGGAAAAGGTGGCATGTTGTGTTTTCCAACAGACCAGAGCTCATTGCAGTAACACTCCAACCTTGTCATTGCTTTCAATTATGTCATCTTGTCAGACTTGTCACTGAGACAAGATCTTTGCAGTTGCAGCAGCCCTCTGGGGTGCGAGGTACTCTTTCACTGCTTCCTCCTCAGTGGGAGAAAGGAGCTGGCAGCTTCTGACACAGCTTGATCACACAAGTTTTCTTTCAGCTCCACAGAGCACATAGAGGGGAAAAATAAACATTGCAGTGTTGGTCAGCACGCTGAGTTGTACTGCACTCGAGAGGAAGTGTGGTGTAATGGGTAGATTGAGATCCCTCTGATGTGCTGTTCCCAATTCTGTCACCACCTTTTTAATTCTGACCTCAGCCCATGTGCTTTTAGTGTGTTGCAGAACAGGAGGTTCAGAGCAAAAAAAACCCAAACTGACTCTTTCATATAGTGATGGATGTAGCAATCACATTTGTCCCTATTTTGAGAAGTGATGAATTCATGAATATTCATAATTTTATTGGGAAATTTTAGATGGTTTGAGCTGCTTGTTTGTCCTAACTCTCTCTCCTCTCATCCTAGGAATAGCCTCCATAGGTTTGGCTGCTGCTTATTATAGTGCAGGTAATGGCCTATAATTTTATTTTAAAGAATTGTTTCCTGTTGATCTGTTTTTCATGCTGATGTCTCATCTCTGCAGCTTCTGTCTCGCCTCAGAGGCAGTAGAGGTACCTATTGCATTTTGTGGTGTGAATATTAAAATCCAATACTAACTGTTGCCTGTGTGTGGCTTACCGTACTTCAGTGCTCTATTTCTTTCTTGGTCTCCCTTTCCATTTGCAAGAGTATTTTTAATGATGATATTTAGCACTCTGTGGCATTTTGTACTTTCAGTGTGTTTTGTAAATGTGATTAGCTGGTCCTCACAGCTCTCCTGGGAAGACATATAATGATTGTCTGCCACCATAATGAAATGATTACCTTGCCTTTGGTGGAAGTGCTCTGTTTCTCTGGAAACTGTTAAATCATCACTAGCAGAGATTACTCATACAAACACCTTTAGAGAGCAGACACTATTGCTTCACCCTGCACCCCCTGCAAGAGCAGGCTGCACTGAATGCCAGGTATCCTTCTGTTGATGGAATTTGTCCTGCAGGCTGTCCTGTGATTCTTTTGCTCCATCCTGTTGACATCAAAATTTAAAACTTAATAGTGTGTAGGAATATGCTACCAATATAATTAATGTATTATTATTTAAAGAGCAAAGTCCAGTGAAAGCTGCTTGAGACACCAGCTAGATCAGCCTTTTTTAAAGACATTGCAACAAAGGTTTCTGAAACAATACTCAGCAGCGTTCTACTGTCTTCAGTAAAAGCCTGAGTAAACAAATTGTTTAGGTTGCTACATGTTTTATGTCCATGTTTCCAGGACGTAAAATGCAGATGTTTGTTTGCCAAGGGGCTTGACTGCTTCCTTTTATGAATAAACGTTTGCCTCTCTTACCCTTGTTGTCTGCAGCACAAATATTTGATGGTTGACAGCAGGTTGAGAGTTTTGTAGATGCCTTTGCTTTTAGAGAAGAGAAAGATGTTTAGTGATGTTACAGCCTTGCCAGCAATACGTGTGCTTGGAGTCTTTGGAAAAATATGAATGTTTTTATCCTGGGAGAGAGCTGTTAAACATTTTACCTTACAACTAAAGGCACAAATGTTGCATCAGAGAAACCCTTTTTTCTTTTGCTGCATTTAAAGGGAGCATGTTGATCTTAAAACTGACTGCTTGAATACCAAAGAAGGACAAAAACCCTAAATTAGTGCTTTTTTTTGCATTGTTCAGACAGCTTGGCCTGGAAGCTCTTTTATATGGCTGGGTGTTTCTTTGTGGCAGCGCAGAATCTGGAGCAGTGGGAGGTAAGATGTTGAACTCGTGAAATATGAGGTTGTGCAAGTTTAGAAGCATTTGGCAGATGGTGATTCCAGCAGCTCTGTGCTCTTGCTCTGTTCAAACAGACAAGTTGTGCTTTTGGTTTTGGTGAAACCCTTTGGGGTTGCTATACTAGAATTAGAATTAGAGCAATAATTCTTTCACTACACAAGCATGAACATGAAAAGCTAAAAATAAGAGTTTTTTTATAAGGTGAGGGTTGCCGCAAACAGTTTTGTGGCCTTTTCTTCATCTTATATAGAAGAGACAGAAAAAATAGCACAGTTGGCTGCTAAAACATTATTTTGTGCTTACTTTCTTTCCAGCTAATGACAGAATGACCACTAAATAGGATAGATCTAACCTTCCAGAATACTCAGCTGTTTTCCACTGGGAAGAGAGTGTTTGTGAAGCTGATTTATCTGGTGGTTGATTTGTTGGGAGCTGGACTGAGAGCAATAACCCATCATGTAGGCTTGTCACCTTGCTGACCTGAGTTGTCATTAGAATAATCAACCCACAGATATGAGGCATCCTTTTTTCATTATCTGTCAGGGATGTTTTAAATCTGGTGTGAACCTGGCCATTATAGCACAACACTGGAATTTTGGTGGACTTAGTCACTATGTTAGTGAAAGGTGTAACTGGAACTTTCATTCACTGGGTGCTTATACTATAGGCCAAACGCGTTCACCATAAAGCTCATGGAGAAAGATCTCCAAGTTAGTGTTCAAATTTGATTCCAGGCAATGTTCTTATTACATAAGGAAGGTGTCAGGAGGGACAATGAAACCAGCTTCAATTTCCTTCTAGAGGTAACACAGGAGATATGCTGAAGTCTGTTAAAACCAAGAGCAAGGCTGTGGTTTTCAGTCTAATTGAGGAATGTCTCTAAAATAGCTATGTACTTTTCTGTTTCCAAGATTATTTTCACATATAGCTGTTATTGTTTTACTTTGAAGCATAGCTGCTGCTGGTGTTTTTAAGAATATCTTGACTTCTTTATTTTTCATTTTTACAGGAAGCTGTATTTGATAAGAACAGGGGAACTGTGTGCTTAAAAACATTCAATCTTTACAAAAAAATACTGACCTTCTCCAAAGGAGGCCATGAACAAGGTGAGAAAGCAGTATGTGGTAGCAAGTGTGATGAGCAGACAGAAGAAATGCATACATGTCTCTTCAGTAAGCTGCTCTGGAGTTCTGTACTCAAATTAGTCACATCTGTTTCCAGATCTGCTTTGTTCATAAGCAGCAGATGTTATCATAAGCCTGTGTGGACCCAAATGCTTTTTCAGGTTAGGGTGCTGAATGCATCCTGTTATTTTAATCCAAGGCTTCCACATTGCTTTCCATAATAGTCTTAGCCATTCCTTTGGGATGTTAATGTGCAGGTTTGCTTTTCCCTTGGCTAGCCTGCTTTGCAGGTGGGTCTGGTGGAAAAACTTAAAATTTGGATCTAGGAATTGAGATTTCTGTCATCTGATCTGGTTTTGATAGCAGACAAATCTTTAGAGATCATATGCAAGCAGTCATGTTATATCCTGCAGGTATAAAATATGCATTTAAAACATCATATTAAGTAGGTTCAGCTTAATGCAGTATCTTCTCTTGAGCTTCCTGTTGGAGTAACATATGTTGAAGTCTAATGTGTGTGACTTGGTTGAGTCACTGTGAGACAGGAGCTCCATTGCAAACTGAAGTAAGATCTTCTTCAGTGTCAGATTTTTTTGATCCTACTTGCTAGTCTAAATCAAACCAACTCTCAGAAAACTGGCAAAATTTGCAGTGTCCGTAACCTGAATTGGCTTTTAAACTAAGAGATGGAAGATAAGAGATGGGGAAAAAAGGATGTTTAATGTTTCTGAACTTTTCTTTAGGGTATATTTTTCTTTAGGGTATGCTTTTAAGTATATCTCTTCCTGAGAGGTTATTTGGTAATATGTTTCAAGTACCATTAATGTAGGGATGCAGAGATCAGCAGATGCTCTTCACAGTTAAATATTCCAGTATTTGTTCAGCCTCAGTAAACTGAATGCATATTTACCTGCTCTGTATAGAAACATGGTTAAACTGTCATCAAAATGGGAAGCATAGGTAATAAACTAATGGTCTCCAGTTCCTGAGAGGCAGTATATCTTGTTCTAGGGTCTATACTAGCTAATATGTGCTGTAGCATCTCCTGATGCTGATATGTGTGATAGCAGTGTTTGTTTTGCCTGAATAGATCAGCAATTGCTTGCTCTTGCAGGACTGCCCTGGTTGTATGAGATCAGAGCAATAGCACTCAAGAGCATGTAGTCCCAGTGGTGCAACTTGCTAGCAGCAGTGCTGAGGACTTACTGTCATGCTGATAGACTATTTTGTTTTCCACATGTGTTTACAGTAGTGGCTGCACTGAATGAGATCCGAGATGTGAACGTGGAAGAGGAGACGGTGCGGTATTTCGGGAAGGGCTACGTCGTTGTGCTCCGCTTTGGCACTGGATTCTCACACCCACTGACTCAGAGCGCAGTGTTGGGCTGCAGAAGGTGCGCTGGGGACTTTTCTTTAATGGGAATGTGTGAGGTGGGAAGTACCAGTCACATGGGTCAGTAATTGCCAGCTAATGAGACTCATCTAGCTCAGTTTTCATACTTGCTGATGTGACTTTGCGTTATTCAATTCTAACTTTTTTAAACCCTTTAATGCTTTCAGTTGCAGACTTTTGGGTACCACTGTCTCCCATCAGGAGACTGATTGTATTTAGATATCCAAGATCCCTCTGGTGCTGCATGTCTGCTGCAGCTAACCTCACTACCTCAGCTGTGCAGTTGCAGAGGGGATTAATTCTCTTCAATTCTATTCAGTGTATTTATCAGTTAACATAGAATTTATTTTAAGTATTGATAATAGGAATCTTGCAGCAGGAGCTGTGGGGAAAAGGATTGATTTGTTCTGATATGGAAGTAATGGTGTGGCTTGATATGCCTTCACTATTGAGATTATGTCAGTCATGCTTTATGTCGTATGTTGACTGTCCCTTCAAGCAGTTACTCTCAGGAATTAGCATGCCTGTTCTTGTTTTGTCTACAACACAGTTCCACTAACTTTTACATTGTTTCTTCTATTCCACAGTGATGTGGAAGCCATTGCCAAACTCATTACTAGTTTTCTGGAACTGGACAGAGTAGAGAGCCAACAAGATCTCTCTCAGAGCAGCGAAACAGAGGCTAGTGATGCAGATGAACCACAGGATACCTATTAATAGTCATCATGAGCTGAAGAAAACAGAGGCTTTTGAACATCTGGAAAATATACTGATTTTTCTTCAGGAAAAAAAAAATCCCTCAACTTTGACCTGGGCATTTCTCTACATGTGCATTTACAATGGGAGGAATCTGTCTTAGGGGTACCTCATTAGTGCTAAACTGCTTTGAGATCTGCACTCCCAGTACTGCTGTTGGAGAGTCCAAAGCAAATTGTGTTTTATGTGCTCCTTTGCCTTAGTTCCTGCTCATGGACACTGCTGGCTTTTGAGCTCAAACTTGTCTAGGAGTAATTTATTAATGGGTTGGTTTGAAATCATGTATTACTTTCCCACTGATGAAGTGGAGATGCAGATGTAAACTTTGACTTAGTGCAAACATCTGCTGCAGGTACAGTACATGAAATGTAGAAGAGCTGAATTTGTAACTCATAACACAGTGCTGTGAGGTTGATACTGAAATGTTGCAGATGACTGAATGTATTGCTGAATTGGTTTTAGGCAGCTTCATATATGCAGTTAGGTGATGCAGAATAGTGGCACTTTCATAGTCTCTACTACTGACTTGCTATTAGATACTAGTGGAAATTAAAGTCTGAGTGATTGTCTTGGAATTGGAAACATCAGTTTGACCTTGTTACATTCTCTCTTCTGCACTTTCCAAGGAGCTGCAAATAGGAAACAAAAAATGATCATGGTGATGTTTCAACATCTTCAGGATGTTGTAGCTTAATCCTGTTTTACTTCTCTTCTGGGCGTAGTCTAGCCCAAGGCAGAATAACCTTTTTCTAAACTTAAACATTTACTATTTTAGCTGTGTATTTAGAAAGGAAGAACACATCTGTTACTTGAGGGAGGGAAGAAACTGATGTGAAACATGATCTAGTTTTGTTTAGTATTTGCCCACTTGAAATGATACCAGTATTATTTTTTTTATGATAGCTGGGATAGATTTAATGTTTGTTTTGCACCCCTGTTTTGCTCCAGGTGTGTAGTGTCTTCTCTTCTGACCAGCGGTTTCACAAGTAGATAAAATACAAATCTTCCAAGATACTTTTTGAAGTTAAAGCTACCTCTGTTAGTCCACATCTTCTGTCTAGAGCTAAAACTTCACCATGCCTATATCAACATGTCAGTACAAGAAGAAAGGAACCTTCTGCAAAGAACTGAAGGTTCCTTCAGCATGCTGAAACTGGTGGTACTAAAGTTCACTAGGTTTTATTTAGGAATTGTGGGATCTTAAGACCTGAATTAGAAAATACTTACATGGTTACTTCTAGGAGATCTGAATGAGGTACAAGGTAACTGCATGGTCTGACTTCATGTTTGGCCTGCGCAAATGTCTTTGGGCAGCAGTTTCTTCAGAGCTTAAAAGAACTGAGTTCTTGTTTCTAAGCACTCTACCTCTATGGAAGAAAAAGCTATGAAAAGTTTTCAGCAGAAGCTATGTCCTGTCAGCTATAGTTTTATAGTGTTTCAGCTATATCTGAAACTAAGGGCATGCTTATCTGACCAAAGAACAGGTGGTACCAAGAATTCATGTCCAGGTACTTAGAGCTAGTATGTCAGCTGTGAGAAAAAGATGCTCTTACTGCCAGTTTGAATGGGTAATAAAAGTGAAACAGGAATTCTCCATTTAAATCCACTGTGAAATATACCCTAAGTATGTATATACATCCTTGCCTTAGAGAGGAGAATGAGATTGGAAATACGGAGCTTTTGAACTACAGTGTAGAATGAGAATATTGGATTTTATAAGGACTTCCAGTAAGAAATAGTGAAGAAACTAGAGTATTTAATGGCATAATATAAGCAAAAGGGCTCAACCTGCAGATAACCACTGCTTTGAGCAGGGGCATTTAGAGGGAGTACATTGTAGAGATGTGCAGTGCACTTAAATTCTGAGCCTGCAGATTTGATCATGGATGAAAGTGACAAAACTACCCACGTTTGATCGTGGCTATACTGGGTTTCTTCTGTATTTCCATGAGAGCTAACATTCTGTGGAAGATAGAAACCACCATTGTTTTCCAGTTAAAAATCTGCTTTAGAAAGGTATTTCTATTGATCTAAACCTGTGCTGCATTGTGTGCCCTGCTGCTGCTGAGCTCTTTTGTGCATCTTGTGTTAGTAATGTATATACTTATGGACTATGCAAAAACTAAAACAGTGTAAGGAAAATTCTGAATCCCTGGAAAGGGGGATGACCTATAGCAAGATAGAACATTGCTTGAAGTACATCTGAGTAGTAAGTTGCATTTTGAGTTGATGTCCAGTGATCATCTCTGAAGATGTTCTGTAGTGTCCCCCTCACACCTCAGTCCTCTGATTGGTGGTAGGCAGGAGAGGGGTGCCTGCTGGCATGCACTGTGTTGAGGAGTATTTTGACTCCTCAGCCTGTCACTTGACACAGCTGATGTAATCCTCTCTTCCACTTTGCTGTGGCAGCTCTGTTGCTGTACAAACTGCCAGTTTCAACTGGGAACCCGAGTTCTATACATGAAGGGAGACTGAGTAAAGTCTTCGAATGCTGAAGGTTCTGCCTGTGGGCTGTATGTAGGGCACTGCTGGCTGATGAATGTAACTAGGAGCAGGTTAAGAATGTCTTGTCTTGGTAATTGGATGATGCTTTATGTGTATGTGTATCACAGGCTGATGTGTTTTCTCTTGATCCAGGTTTTGAGCTTCCTGTCTTCAAAAGCCTTGTTTCTTATAGTTAGAACAGCCAGATTTTCATGTTTTGCAATAACTCTGTGCATGGAAAATTAACTTGCAAATTGCCATTAATGTGGATTTGGTTACGGCGATGCCTGTGGACTCCTCAAGTTGAAGGAACTGCTGAGAGCAGCAGATGCTAACCCAGAACAAGTTCTTTTCTTACCTCTGTCCACTAGTCCTCTCTGATCTTGCCACTCCACTATTTTGCTGAAGGCTTTTTTGGATGCTTTTCCTCAATTCTTTTGGGCCTAGCAAATAAAAAGGCCCAGTAAACATAGCCTTATGTGTGCCTGGTGTAAGGTGGCTTGTACTAAACGGAATGATGGGAATGACTAGTTTGGATTAGGAAAATTACAAACTCCTAGAAGAATATTACAGGGATGTATTCACTTTTTGCTTCTCAGGCTGCCTGGTAGCTAGAGCCTGGACAGCTGTAGATCATATGACTTATAAATGACTTGAAAACCTATGTAATGGCCCTTAGGTTAGATCTAAAGCTCTGGCCCATAAAACTTACACTTTCTCTTCTATCCTTTAATATAACTGTATGGGAAGTGCCACTTAGCACATGCTTCATCTTCAGCTTGAAGAGCGCATTTGGAGTTTCTTGCATGCATGTGGTCGGGTGGATCATGGCCTTAGACTGCATGTTCTACAGAGGGAAAAGCTGTATTTAAGCTAGAATCTAATATGCTGGTATTTCACAAATTGAGGTATTCCAGTAAGTGGGATCAATTCCTCAAAGGAAATGGAAGTATTTATCCTGTATCACTGATATCTGCCTCTTGTGCTGTATTTATGAAGTTACACATACACCAAAAACTAAGCTGCCTTACATAGTAAATCATGCTAGTTCTAACACTGTAGCAGACTGCTGAGAGGCAAAAATGTTAGGAAAATGTTTAGAATACTTCAAAATTGCAGGGCCTTCTATAGTGTCTTTTTATAAAAACCTGTGCATTGAGAAAATCAACTTTGATAATTTTTGTGTCACTGTAGCATTTTAGATTGTTTTTTTTATTAAAATGGACTAAAATATTAATGGCTGTCTGAATTACTGCTTGGCACAGAGTTACAGAAGGAGACAGTGGCTGGAGGACGGGGTAAAGGAAGCCCAAATACCTAGCTCTTTACTGACTCCGTTTTCACTTTTGCAGCAGTCCAGCTTTCAATTTCATCTAAGCTGATATATCCAACTCTCCACAGGTGAATGTATTTCTATTCCCCTCCTTTAAACCAAACCAACATGCCACATGCAAAAAAAAAAAAAGGAAGTTTCCACAAACTTCTTGAGTATCAAAGGATTTATTAAAGTAAAATAAATTAAGATCTTGTTTAGTTCAAGGTATGTGGCTTTGGTAATTACGGTTTACATAGCCATTGATTCTATAGCTAAAAATCTGCATATGGACTTAACTCCTGTAGCTGTCATTAAATAAGTTAGATTTGTCTCATGCTGTACTTGTACATCCTGTAGCTAGAGCTGTGGTCTTTAGAATAGATTGTTCCAAGTAGATGTCAATACCTGTGCTTCCAAAATAAGACTTTCAAGAAAGCAATAAATGAAGCAAACAGGAATATTCTGAATACTCATGGTAAAGTAGCATACTTACTTAACTACCAGGCTTTTGAACTGATTTTCCATTGTGGTGATTATCTGAATGCTGTAGTTAAGTCCAGAAAATATATTGCTATACACGATTACAAGTTCAACATTAAAGCAGAATGTAACATAACAGCATTTCCCCCTCATATTCAGTAGACTTCAGCCATGCTTCAAGCGTGAATGAGTCTGCAGTCTCTCAGGTGAAATGGATATCTTAAAGTGACTGGGATGGTGCTTTTCTGTGGTGTTGGGATGATGCTTAGCTTTGATGCTTTGGTAAGTTTAGAAGACCAGCATGTTAAGGCAGCTTTCCCTCACAGCCAGGTGTCACTGTCACTGCTGGTAACAAGCTCCTTTTCCAGAGCTCCCTGTTGCTCTGTACTATGATAGTGCATCTCTTACATCTGCTGTAGCCTCGTGAGCAGATCAACAGCAGTTCCTTGCTCAGACTTCTGCAAAAGGCTGGAGGTCAGTTTCCTGATCTCAAGTTCACCAAAGCTGGATTCAAAACTGATGTTTCATGTATTTCAAAGAATGGAAAAGTCCAAAACAGAATCTGGAACAAATCAACTGCTACATGCTATGGAAGGGCTTGTCATGATGGCATGGTAGGACATTTCAATGCAGCTGAAAGACTGAGTCACAGTACAGAATGTAAGGACCCAAAGCATGTCTGAAGTATCCTAAATCTTGCATTTTCTAGAAACTGTAAAAGGAGAACACATTGGCTACTGACTAGAGTAGAACTCATAGAACTCTTCCAGGTCATTGTTATGTAAGAAAGTCTTACTACTACTAATAGTGGAATTGGAAGAAACTGGGTTTTTCTCCTGCCTTGTAAAAGAGCCAAGTTGTGACTCTTGTGCTCTTTTATGCAAGGGGAGCAAATCTCCTTCACAGGGCAGGTGATTCAAGGCTCAGCAATGCATTAAGACAGGAAAATTAAAACAGAGCTGCAGCCTAATACACTACCAAGTTCTTTGATGCCTTCAGGTCACTTTCATCATAGTTCTTGCTTCAACTCTCAAGATGACAAACTAGCTCAGTGACTAGCTGCTGATCTCTACTAGTTGTGTTTTCCCATGGAGTAAGACAGACTCACTGATGTGTCCCTAATTTTGTGCCTTTATCGCTTCGTCTAAATCATCCACCACTTGCTGCAGCTTCTGGAGGCTGGGGTAGACATTCTCCTCCATCCACTCCTCTACAGTACATTTGTGGAAGACTTGCTCCATGGCTGCTTGGAGGTCTTGCACCACACCATTCCACTTGGAGAGAAGACTAAGCAGGAATCATAAGAGAGAAACAATCACATTTGCAGGTGAGCTCTGCCCCAAGGGAGGCTTGGCTTACTGGACCTTCTAAAGGGAGTACAGGCCTTAAAATGCCTTAACAGGAAAGGAGCATCTATTAAAAGAGCTCGAAGGACTTGACTTTGTGCAGATGCACAAGGTTTGTGTTTTGAGTACCATTAATCTTGGCGCTTCCTGTAAGCAATGACTTTTTCAGTACTGAAATATGAACTCAAAGCATTAGACGCATTTTAAGTCTAACTAAAACTTACTGTGAGACTTGGGAATTTAATTCTGTTTTCTAATCAGGAAGAGTGGATGCAGCTGGGTATTCACCTTACCACAGCAAAAAAAATAAGTACTAATTACGTATTCAGCACAAACCAGCATGATGCCTAGGACAAGCTCTGGAAAGCTCATAGTGGCAGGGAGCAAGGTGGAGTGGTCTGGCTTTGTTTCCCCTGCCTGGAACCTGGCCCACAGGGAGCTCCTGCATGGAGGTGAGTAACTGCTGTAAGAGGCAGCAGGTCTGTACAGGAGTAACTCCATGGACAAGTTAGAGTTTGTCAGAGACCAATTTCGTTCTTGTATTCAAAATATTTTTTCAGTGGAAGACAAACATGCTTAAAACCGTAACATGAATACTTCATGCTGTTTGGTTTCCACTGATGCTTCTGTAACAGTTCAGAAGGCAAGGACTCAAAACTGTATGTACCTGAATGCCAAAATATGACAGATTTTGTTTCCCCTATAATGCAAAGTCAGTGGTGTTACCTTACTGCATCTGGCTGAAAGTGATGCATTATTATGGGATGGATAATCTTCCTTTTCCTGTGGTAGGGGCTGAACCAGCCTGTGACATACCTGAAAACAGATGTTAGCATGAGCAGGTTTTGACACAGCAGCAATGCACCCGTCTGTAGGCTGACAGGGAGGTGATAGGGCTTTAGCTGAACTACTTCTGCATAAGCAGAGACAATGCTTATGGAGTAAGTAAACTGAAGTCTTTGTATCAGGGTTGTAAAAGACTGTTCTTGGCAGATAAGAATAACTGATCATGTGTTGCAATTTAAGTTTTATTTCAAGCTCCATTTTTTGTAACCACACCATTAAAAAGAATTTTAACTTTAAATAACAGCTGTAATTCAGGGAAGAACTAGTTTCTTGAGATAAGGCAGCACATACCATTTAGGAGTCCTGCTGAAATACTTCAAATTTGAATCAAAATGCTATGTTCTGCTGAGGTGTCAATACACAGGGATGCAATGCCTGAAACAGAGCTTCATGTTTAAATCACTTTGCTGGAGTTATGCCCTGTCTTGAGAGGATACAGCTCCAACACTCCTGCAGACAGCAGAGAATCAACATAAATCTCATTACCTGTTCCTTTCAAGAAGTTCATCCACTGATGACTTGAGGTAGAAACTAATTTCGGTCACAAGCATGAGGATATTGCTCCCAGGAAAGGTTCCCAGACTTGTGCTGCCCAAAAAAGATCCATGAGTTTCTGAACTCACCACACCATGAGAAGCATCCGAATCCTACAGCTGGAATTTTACCTCATGAAAGTATCAATCTCCAGGTTAGACATTCCCAGGAGCTCTTCCACATTTTCTTTAACCTTGTCAGAATAACCACCTGGCAGAAGACAGTGGAAATACATAAAGGAGCTTAAATAACCAGAATCTTCATGAAAGGGCTTTTCAGGAGTACTCTACATTGGCTTAGTTCTCCTTGGGTGAAGATGTTTTTTAGAAGGTAAAACAGAGACAGAAGAAGGGGTGGGAGGAGTAAGCTGTGTTTCACACAGTTGCCTCATACTAGGTAAAGCGCTTCCTAGCTATGAGCACTGCATATTTTTAGTGCCTTAGTTAAAAACCAGTAGGTTGTGGTTTTTTTTAGGTTGAAAATAAGAAATGCAGTTAAGACAAAAGTTCTGTTGGCAACTGCCTGTGAAGAAACCAGAAACTAAAGGAAGTATTTTACTTGACAGTGTACTTCCTAGATGGAACTGGATTAGTTACAATGACTTTTACATGTAAACAAGATCTAAATCTCATTTAGTCTCATTAATCTAATTTATATCTAAAAGCACCTCATTTGTATAGCAATTGTGCTTCAAAGTTCTGAAAGCAATTCAGCTGCCTAAATTATTTTTAGTAGGAGCATGAAGAAGTTTGTGACCCTTTGCAGGTGAGAACATAATAAATGATTAGTATACTATGGCTATCTTTAAATAGCTAAGCTAAGAGCTTTCTCTGCTTCCATAT